TGCGTTCCATTTTCAAATTTCGAGCGTTTCAAAACTTATATATGTGTAGTGACATACGTGCACATTTGTTGTACGTTTACTTTACTTGTCTTTAAAATGCTGGTGTACAAAGAAAGTATTATCTATGTGTCTATCTAATTTAGGCGTTGGGTATGCTGCGATTAAAATCGTAAATGGTCTCTGCTATATGGAAATAGATGATAAACAACATGTAACCTTTCTATTATATCTTTGTCTGCCTTCAAAAGGTTCGTTATTGAAGCTATAATATAGCTTCAATGACGAACCTTGTGCATGTCACACACATAATGTCACAGTCAGTCACAGTTTCTTGGGGCGCTTAAATCATAATGTAATATGGTTTAAAATAAATCAAGAAATTGTTGTGTCCCAATCAATTTTATATTTGTGAGTTTTTTTAAGTTACTTATCTGAAATGCTGGGAGAGGGTGCGCTATTATTTTCGTTTTAAAGCAACATTTTTCTAATAACTGACTACTAAAAGCAAAAATCCTTGTATTTGATAAAGAATTGCCACGGAATAATACACGTACATGCTTCGTTGAGTTATGATACAACTAGCAAAATAAAAGTATTTTAGAAGCTGAACTCAGTAAGTACTTAAACGGAAACTTACCTACAACTTAACTCACTGTAAGTCGCCTGAAGTAATGTTTGTGGTTATTTGCTTACATCACTTAAGGTTCACCCACCCCGCTGTTGGAGCTCATGACGTCAAGTAACAGTAAAGTTTCAAAAGAATATTCATGTTTAATTATAAAACAATTACGTCGAAATAATTATATAAACTGAAGAGTAAAACGAGTTGTACGCAGACAATGATTTTAATTTCAGTAACTGCAAGTATACGTAAACATTTATGTATTTACCTATATTTTTATTAGTTAATTTTAATTTGTAGATTTATAATGTTAACCATGTCGAGATTAAAATGTGTCGTGTTCAAATATTTAAATAAATAGACGTTCTAAAATATTTTTTAATTTAAACCTTCATGTTGCAACTTCTAAAAAATAATTTTAAGGGTTTTACGCTCGTAACTACGAACCTTGAACTTATTGTTTCATGATATTAAAACTTTAAATAAGAAACTTATTAAATAAAATAAATAGATAAACTTGTTTCTTCATAGCTAGGTAAGTAATATCAACAAAGTTTTATATTTTACATTTAAAGAGTTTGTGGCGATATCCATTTTTTTTTTGTCCTGTGTGGAATTCCCCTCGGATACCACCCGTGGCTGTGTCGGACTCGAACCGACCAAAAACCGCACGGCGTCTCGGGTACCATTTGCCGAGGAACTAGGTGTACCCTAGGAAGGAAAACCCTGATACCCCGACGTGGTGTAATACTCCTCACATAAAACCGGTATGAAGCAAATTTATCGTTGCTTTTCACTGAGTGAATGAAGTTACTGGAGCCCTAAAGAAATACATACACTACATTTATTTGTTATAAAAACAAAATGCCTAATAAGTTCTCTACTAAATCTTCAATACTGGTATTAAAAATACCTTCTTTATTTTATTTTAATTACGTCCACGATAGTTTACCCGCAACTACGGCTGCGTTCAATTTCTTTCATAGAATTTCACTTTCTTAATCTTATGTCGCCCTTTCTAGTTCTATTTTCGCTCTAGAAAATGCCTATGGTCTGCGCAAAGTTTCTGTCGATAAACTAAAGTACTTCAAAATCGGTTCATGGGTGAAATGTGATAGACTAACCATTCCTTTCGCATTTATAACATTAGTATATAATTTATGGCTGATCAAATACAAAATAGATTTGAAACCAGGTTGAAAGAAATAATTTCACCTGCATTATTAAATGTAACCTCTTAAAGCACAGCCTGAGATGTCCTCCATTATCAATTTAATGTTTTATTGATTTGATATTTTCAAATCAACATTAAATTTGACAATAACTAGTTTTACGCCACGATATAGTATATCAAACAAAAATGTTCCACGTCTATCGATTTGACGTTTAATAAAAGATAGTGATTTGATTTAACAGTCATCTACCCTATTCAACTCTTCCAGCTAGTTTATCTAGGTCACTTTATTTCGACAGGCTACTTGGGTTTTTAGTAGATACCATATGTAAGAAACACGCGGTATCCACTAAAAACCCGTAATAATGTTAAATGATTCTAAAATATTGTTTTGCCTTTATATACTTCCTCTATTGTGCAAATCTTCTCTATCTGAGAGGACACAATATGTTGTGGTGAAGGGCTATAAATTTATGGCTTACACAGCTACCAATACAGTTGCTTCAACAGCAGCTGTAGTGGAAATTATCAGTTATAGTAATACACCAGGGTTATCCAGTCAGTTGCACTCTGATCTACCAGAATAAAGCGTGCCCTGATGGTGCTAACTCTCAGAGGGTGCTGGCGGATCTCGTCCTTAGCCACTCATGAGTGGTTTAAGGCCGCTTGCCGAGCCACGATGACTCGTTGGTCGTCCCGGCTGGAGGTTCCACGTACTGGCTTTGGCGCCGTGGAGGCGGTCACGCCGGTCATTGTCTAGTGGGTAGCACGGGACCCTTTCCTTCCGACTAACGCATATCACACGCATTTTATGAATTGATATCAGGTAATACTTTAAGGATTTTATTGTAGATGTACAAATTTTACTGTTCCATCATAGAATTGTGCAATGTGTAGGCGAAAAAAAAAGTCATGAATTTGGATTTTAAAAAACCCCCTCATTCTTTTTAGGTACTTAATTTCTTACTATTCATATTATTTGTAAACTCATTATTGTCACTGCGTTGCTAGCTTGATATTTTGCTAGCAACGCAAATTTCAATAGACCGGTTCAGTAAAAGAATTAGAGCACCTAAGTTTTAATCTTGGCACAGAATTAGCACCTAAAAAGCAGCCAAATTTTGGCATTTTTTAAATGCAAATTCCTGACTTTGCGTCACAGAGCTAATCATTAGGTACAGGGACATTTTGAGTAATGAAAAGAATTAAGAATACATTGAAACAATCTCTTTGAACAGATGTTTATGTAAAATGAATATACCTAATAATATAATTTAATAGAATAATTTATTTTGAAAATAATTATTTGCGTTTCATATTTTAGTTAAATTTTTTTGCATTTGTATTGAATGAATAAATGTCAAGCACCACTTCTTTTTAATATTTTTGTACGTAATAAAGTTTATTTATCAGTTTTTTTACATCTTTTGGACGCAATGCGACATGTGGAACAAGTAATCGTCTGCGGTATTTCTGGACCTTCAAATCTTCAAGAAAAGAGCGTACCTACTCCTTCCTAAAAGGCAACGCGCTTGTGACTCACAACTCAGGGTTGCAGGCGTTCATGGGCGACGGTAGTCACTTTCCATCAGGTGAACCGTCTGCTCGTTTGCCCTCTCTTCCATAGAAAAAAGTAGTCAATTTCAACATGAAATTAAAAATCCCGAAAACATTTATCCCGTTCCCTGTGTTTGGCTTCCCTGTTGCCTAGGAGAATTATATCAAAATAGATGCCGAAATTTATTGATCTACCCAACCCTACCGTTCATTCCTGTTTCATTGCGCTTAACAGAATAAAACGCAAATTTCAAATGCTGTATTTTTAGTAAATGAATCAAAGTAATTATATGTCGTAACTAACCGTTCCCCGTTCCGTTCCGTAATATCAATGTATCATGTGTGTTCAAGGTATGTTATCCTATGTGACATTTTTATTTTTGATTACCATTTTAAGAATACCACGTAGAAAGTAAAGCAAATATAATCATTTATAGCACAAAAATCTTGTTAGTTATTATTCTCCTTTTTTTCTAAATTTCGAATGTGGGAATCCCAACAAATTGAATACACATTTTCTGTAAGTTTTGTTGCCGGTCGCCTTGGTGATCCCATTTACGATTGACGGAATGATTATTTATTGACGGAAATAAGTCAGCATGCATTGGGAACAAAATGTTACTTGAAGTTATTTAAATTTGTAGCAGTATTTAGGTAAGTCAGCTAGGAAACTGCCTAAAATATTAGGCTATCTATTAATAAACATCAACATTTATTTACAAACAAGCACTAAAAAAAAGCAAATAAGCACAGGTATCTATTTAAGTTGTTATAGTTTGTGGAATAAAACATTGAACAAATGTGTTCTAAAGTTACCGACAAGATTAACTGTGGGTGGTTTATTACACAGTTATTTTCAACGGTCTCTTTTTTCTAACGTCGTTTTATATTAATTGGCAATTAATAATTTTTTAATAGGTTGATAATGAAATATGTCTAGTATGTCTATTTAAAAACTTAGTTGAATGAGAATCATAACATTTTGCCTGCTTTTTGTCAATTTTATGTACATAAAAAATTGGCACTAGTTGGGGCAACACAATCATTAGGCGACGCGACGTCACATTCTTCATTCATTGCGCCGCGCAGTTGTAACTGACGGCGTGGCGTGACGGCGGATAAGTGGGGGCAGCTAAACCGGAGCCAGACTGTCAGTTCGCAAACAGCCGACGCTGTGTGAAATTGTGTTTTCGAACGAAACACTAGTTACGGGCGGTCACCGAACGTCTATGAAATGTCATTTTACCCCGATATTTAGCGGGCTGCATATTTTTATGAAATTTGAAGGACTTTAGTAAATTGGTGATATCATATACTATCAGACGGCAAGTCTGTGAAGCATAATTCGATTGCAGTGAAATTACACTGTGCGGTTCAAGTGTTTCGTATCAAATAAATGTGCTGACATTTCATGTATATATAATTTTACCCCAAACCACAAAATAACTTTCAAATGAATTTTGTCTATTCAAACGAACGATGTCTATTCAGTTTTCGCGATTGAAAATGTCAGCGGACTGACTTTCGTAACAAATTAAAAACTCCGAACGAATCACTGTCTATACTGACCTTATTTGTATTGGGTTTTTGGTTTATCGAACAAAAGTTATGACCTTCTAGATGAAGGAGTCTTACTCTAATGAAATTATGCTCTGTTTCGTCCAGGGGTTTGGAGAGGCAGAACACGCATATAACAAAAACCGTGAAATAAATGGAAACGTATCAGATTCCAATTTAAAATATACTAAGGAACGTAAAAGAGTGTCATTACAAACTAATTATAAAGATACTGAAGAAGATCAGGCGCTCGCTCAAAGTCGAAAGTCGCGTGCCCTTGTCACTGGAAAGTCATTAAGGCTATCATCTGGCAACCGGTTTACTGAGGTGAAGAGGAGCTTTAGTGACCGATTCTCTGTCATTACTGATGCGAGTAGCAAGAGGCCACCGAGGACACTCTTGACCATTAGGAAAACTTGGTAATTATTACTTACAATACATTTACTTCTAAAGTGACTATTTATTGTATTTGAAAGTGCATCATTGAGTGTGTGAAAATGTGATGATGATGCTTAATATCTAAAGATGTGTATACTATGACTGTAAAATATCTAAAAAAGAGATTATTTTGTTATATTTTTGCTCTACTCAAAGAAATTAATTCAAACTGCACACTATCAAGGTATACTCCATTAGATGAGATGTTCTACACTTAAATGCTTCATCGAATAGGAATTAAAAATGAAACAATGGAATTTTTGAAAATAAACAAAAGACAGCTGTAGAAATGAAATAGGTGCTATCATTACCAGTAGGTAATGTTTTTAGTTGCTGCAATGCATTAATTTCTGTATAAAACTGTTACATTATGGAATGGAAAAGGTAAATAAAAAAGAAACACATTATTATTGATCACAATAGATATCTTTAACACAATTTATTAGAATCAAGTGAATGTACCAAGAATTCGTTAATTGCTTAAGCTATGTTAAACAATTCTTCATTTAAATGATGCAAGATTTTCTATATTTCTTATTATTAATACTAATTTTATTAGTGTCTAGTGGCACTTTCATTAGTGTCTTTAGTCACAACTCTGCTTGTCTGTGTTATTTAAAATTCATTTTCTTCATATATTTTATTTTTGACTTATTTTAGCTTTAGCTATTCAGGGTGCAAACAAGTCTACAATATTAAACATCATAAAGATCAGTTTCGCCATTATTGAGTTATATGTTAATAACTCAATAATGGCGAAATTGATCTTTATGATGTTTAAATTATCAAAGCTCAGATTCACCATTATTGAGTTATATGTTAATAACTCACTAACACTGTTCTTTAATAATTTTTAAGATTTATTATCTCTACATTTTTGCTATCTTAATTAGTGAAAATAATCATATCATAGTAGACAAATGTGTGACACAATGTTTTTCATACATTTTTGCAGGGTTCTGTTAATATTTAAATAGACAGCCATGGTAGGTTTAAATTATATGTCTAATAAACATTATGATAAACTTATGGTAAACCATATTAGCATGTATGATCAAAATAGTATACAAAATCTAGAAAAAAGGAACTAGACCAAATGGGGTATCATACTTCAATGGATAGCTAATATGCTTAATTAGTTCAAAGTCACAGTCACAGGTTTTTGACCTTAAAATTAGAGGTAAAGAAAGCTATAATTCTTTTCTAATGACTGCCTGATGTGCAGTTTGTGTTTGAAATACTACCCATTGCCATCTTTTCATCATCTTATTGCATGAGTGATTTATTGAGTTGTTCTTTGTAAGCATTGAATGATGTTCAAAGTAATACTTGGCTTGGCTCCGTTTAAATTATTTGTTCTATCTAGCAGGAAAAATTGTTTTAGTGGATAAATTTTACTGTATGTACTATTCCATATGTTGGACAACATGTATGCAAAAATTGATGACAGTTGAATGGGGACTTAATGAAGGCATGAAAACTTAACAATCAAAGTTCTTTTGCATTTATTCTTTGAGACTGGTGGCAGGTGGCAACAAAATATAACAGTATTTATAACTGTTATTGTAGCTCAAATTTCAATTTAGATTGTATTAGAACACTGAACATGTATTCTGACATCTTTGATAATCTATGTATTATAAAGCAATAATAAATAGATACTTAGTTTAGAATATATCGGAAAGGATGATCTTTACATAAAAAAAAATATACTATTTAGGTAAATGCCTCATCTCGTGAAGGGAGTTTTTCAATACAGTGCTAGCTTTTGCCCACGCCTTTGCCTGCCTTTATGTATAATTTGTCAATAAATTCACTCTCTTTCGGGAACATTTTTTTTCAAACTGACACAACTAAACTAGTCACATTTATAATTTAAGTAATGATTATTTACACATCCTCAATCTCCTTAAAACCTATAGTATTGGATGCTACAAAAGTTCTTTGTGTTGCTATTGAGCTTCCTTTCTTGTTGGAATGTACCTACATATACAGAGCTTATGTTTACAATCTGGTTGAATTTTGTTCGTTTGCTTAAATTAGCTCAAATGAATCACTAGCACCGCACCACATGAATAACTGAAAAGAAATGAAGTTAATCTTGTGATCAGTGGCCGTAGATTTACTTTTCCTCAAATAAAGTTTAGTACAATTTAAACTATAAAGTTACAGACGAGTATGAGTGGTTATATATATTAATAGTGTGTCGGGTACTAATGCATATCTATATGAAAATTTAAATAATAAGAAGCTTTGCAAACTACATGGATCTAGACACAGCACATTAAAATAAGAAAACTCACTTGTATAAACCCTACCAATATTTCTTTCGAAAGTATAACCGATTCCGTATCGAAAACCTACAGAACGATTTAAAGCTTTTCACCAAAGGTTCAATTAGAAAAATAATTTCGAGAATACAAAATGGTAATTAATTGACCTGACTAACTTTATACGGTCAAGAAACTTATATGTATAAATATGAATTTGGCACTAGTAGTAGTACAGTGAAACTTGGTTAAGTGGGACCTGGATAAGTAAGAAACCTCCATAACTGGAACTCATGCTGAGGTCCCAACACTTTGGCACTGAATTATCTCTGTTACTGGGACGAAGCAAACCTCTATATCTGGGATTCGTTCTTTCGATTTTATCGTCATAGTTACCTCTATAACTTAGACAACGAGTGAATATGCATTAACCTCTGTAACTGAGATTTACTAATTTGGAGTCTCAATGACCTTCAGTTTTAGTTTTGCTTTACGGATGTTTATTTGAAAAATGCCGAAACATCGAAAAACATCTGATGGCCGATACTCCCAAAAGACAAACTAAAATGACAATTTTTTATTATTGATACATTGTTTACATTTTTGTAGTATTTATAACAAAAAAGTGCTTAAATATTTTTGTATATTACATTTGTTAACTTTATTATCGTTTTTTGATTCACAATAAAGATTAAAACTCGCTTATAATGTTTACATAATAATCGCACCTCTATAACTGAAATAACCTGTATTCTGACCACTAGTAATGGAACCCTCTGTAAAGGAGACAGATATTTATTTATACCTGGATTTCTAAGACACTGGGTAAGTGGAATACCTCTATAAGTAAATCAAATTTGCAGGTCCCTTGATGTCTCACTTAACCAGGTTTCACTGTATTTACACGTGGGGATGTTTAAGTATTTAAACTATGTATCAATACTTCGACGTTTTTAGTAAATAAACATTAGGAATATTTGCAATTTCTTAAGTTTTAGATAATGCCTATAGCATTAAAGAAAACAGCATGCGCTCAAAACCAGAACAATCATATCTACGATTCACAAACAATAAAGTAAGAAATTGTCTTATGACTTTGGATGGTTCAAACAATAATCTAAATAAGGCGAATAAAAGAAAAGTAAGTGAAGAAACGCTTGCAAAAAAAAATAAAAAAAGTAAAGAAATATTGTTTAAATAATTTGAGTTCTGCTGCTGTGCCAAATCGACCAACGAGATAGAGTGTCTACAGGATAAACAATCAAAAATTTAACGGTATTTGACTTTCTTAACGACGATTCTATTAATGAAACAGTCATCTCCAACTTATCTTTTTATTGTTTGAACTATAAAAAGATGTTGATTTTTGTTGTTTTTGTACGAATTTATTAAATATTTTAGTTATAATTACTATAAATTAAAATGAAGGTCATTCATATATTGAATTAAAACTGAATTGTAGAATATTATGCTCATTTTATTTCAAACTTGATGACTGCTTTAAAAAAATATTTTTTTTAGTCTATTAAAAAGGTCTTGGCAAAAAGCGCTTACCTAATTGAACATTTAAAAAATTAAAATGCTACTAAATTTCGTATGTCTTGAATAAATTGATACAAGTCTCGATTGAAACATGGTTTTTTTCCTGCTCTGTCATAAAGCAATTAGAGGTCAATTTATTCCGAGTATACCAAGAAGATGATATAATGACTCGTTAATTCTGTGAACGTATTCGTCAAATAAAAACGATTGTTATTATAAGGCAAGGTTCTCGAAATGGTCCGTAGTCTTCTCCCGTATGATTTAGTAGATTTTCATAATCGCATTCATCATCATCATTATCAACAGCCTTTGATAGTCCACTGCTGGACAAAGGCCTCTCCTTAGAAAGGAGGTATTGGCCTACTATACCACGCTGGCCAGACGGGTTGATATAGGGTTTGTTTCAAGTTTTCCTTCTCTTTGCAGTTTTGTTATTCTTCGTAGATTGCTCTCTGAGTCAGCTCTTTCGCCACCCAAGCGATGAATAGGGGTAGTTAGTGACACTGCGTACGAGTATTCTTAATCCGTCACCACCGGATGACTAAAGAATTCGTAAATACCAGTAGAAGATCTGCATCCGAATGTACCTAGGGATATTACAATTTTCTGTGCAAGTTATGTACGAGTTGAACACCTGTGAAAATCGGAGACGTAATATCTTGACTATTTTAATAGTTATACCTGAACATATATTTTGATTCGGGGTCCGTGTGGTGACGGATTAAGAATACAGAGTGTCACCACCCCTATTCATCCCGCGGGTGTCGTACGAGGCGACTAAGGGAGCAAACTACGCAGGACAACAGCACTGCAAAGAGAAGGAAAACTTGACACAAACCCTATACCAACCCGTCTGGCCAGCGTGGTGTAGTAGGCCAAAACCTCCTAAGGAGAGGCCTATGTCCAGCAGTGGACTATTAAAGGCTGTTGATGATGATGATGATATATTTTGATTATAATATAGTTATATGATATATTGTTAATATTTTCAAAGTATAATATACTCATTCACACAATCAATGCAATCATAAATACATTATCTCTGGCTTAACCTCGCCAAAACTGGTTTTATATTCTCTTGACATTCATCTAGTTTTTTTGTCGTGATTGTGCATGTAAATATTTAATTTTGTGTCTCTTCAAAGTAGTTTGACAGTACCAGTACTGAGTAGG